TCATGCATTCAAGCGAATCATCCTAATTAATCATTTTGCAACTTGCTCTAATTTAAATTCATAATGTCCTTATCTGCATAGGCGGCTGCTGCACGTTAATTCCAGGTCTCACAACAATATGGTGCAGTTGGTAATATACCGTGTTTACATAAAACGTGGTTCTAAATAGAACTGATAATTTTCTGTTTCCAAGAATTTCAGAATTCTTTTATAAGTATTCTACGCTGCATATAACTAGCTCATCCACAAAGAAAAATTACAAAGCTAAGTTCATTATTTCTGTTTCCCTCACCAAGAGCATTTCCTCGGTCGCGAAGATCCCTGCTTCATTCTGAAAAAAAGGTGTTCATGATCCTAAAAACTGTGAATTTAGGATTTATATTAAGAAGAGTTTTCGCTGCCCTCTAAAAAGTCTATGACGTTATTTGTAAAACCCAAATTTGCAAACCGCTGTCTGGTAATAGATTGCGGGCTGACATGCTTCATTAGCTTCTTTACAAAAGCAAACTTTGTGCAACGCCTTCTTTTCTTTTGACTGGGCTAAGACCATGTGCCAGCGTTTTTGCTTAGGCCGAAGAAAATCTGAGTCTGGAGCCGAGACATTTTAGACATTTGTCCCATGGATCTTCGACCAGACGATGGGGCAGGTAGCAGCAATTTCACCTATCCTTTTGGATGAGCTCATCAGACTTGCCCAAACGATTGTAGTTGTGACTTCTCGATCCGGGGAAGCAGCGATTGACAGCAAAGCTCTCTCGGAAATCTGTGCTCTGGATCGTGTTCAGACGTGTTAGCCCAGCGATTTCTTTCGGAACTCCCATTTCAGCTGATGTGTCGACGTTTTTCAGTCATGGCCTGCGATTCAGGACCATACGTAAGCATGGGGGTGAAAATCGACTTGCCGCAGACAACTCAGTCTTCAGACACATCCCTGATTTAGTCACAACGGTTATGGCTCTTTCACACAGAACACCACTAGCTATTCCAATTCGCTGGTCGATCTCTTCCTAATCATTCCCATCACTAGTAAACGACAGTGAGGTAAGTGAGTTTCTTCACCTCCATAGCTTCACCACATATCTGCCGAGTGTAGCGCTAGAAGAAGGAAAAAGTGCTAGATTTTTGGCTTCGGATACGTTCACATACATGACGACCATGACACACATGGCTGCGACCGTTTCCATGGAGCACTGGAGATCAGTTTCAGAAGATGCCAATAAAACAAGGCCTTCTGCAGGTAGCAACCCTGTCAACTCTGCACTAATACAATGGTCTCTCTGGCTGCGCCAGACTGTCCTATACATGTATAACACAAATTGGCAAGGGAACAGAACGCAGCCTTGGCGGAGACCAGTGCCAACATTGAAAGGCTTCGACTCAATGACATTTACTCTGAAGCAGCATCTGCTCTCAACATATAGGAATTGGATGGCCCGTAGGAAATGGCCATCGATCCCATATGTTCGCAGGCACGCTACGACCTGTGACGCGGGATCCGATCATGGACTTTCTCAAGATGAAGAAAGGAAATGCATACGTAAACCGACCGCATGTGTGAATTCTCACCATATTTAACCATCTAGCGTACGACGAAGAACATTTTAGAGGCGGCTTGGCCCAGTCTGAAGCTACGCTGCTCTTCTTTGACCATAGAATCAACGATTCTGACGAACCTGCGCCTGTTTCCAACACCTTTGCGTAGACTTCATGGAAGACCATATAAGGCAATCCCCGGATAATTGGAACTGTCCCTATGGTCCTCTTCTTGAACAGGGCACAGCTACCGAAATTCTCCATATTCGTGTTTTCCCGTAATCGCTGCAGTTTGAAGGATAAGCCGCAACATGCCTTGTTCTCCTGCTGACTTAATTGCCACAGGATGGACTTCGTTGACTCCAGGATCATTGCCAATTATCAATCCTTTCACAGCGTCTGTGAATTCGTCTACTGAAAAACTGATGCTCTTTGCCTGTTGCTTTTCAGCCGAGTTTTCCTTTGGGTTGTTCTCGTTAAGGAGTCCTTAAAACCACTCATGCCATCGTAGAAATATATCGTCTTCCTTGAAAAGAAAGGCGTCAGGACATGTCTGCTAGGACTCCAGACTGTCCTTCTTTCCTTTTCAAAGGCGGCGAAGGCCCCCCTCCCCAGATTACCTCGTTTACCATGAAAATTCCTATGCAACACGTCATGGAAATTTTTTCAGAAATGAGCATTATTTGCCGCCCTGTGCATTTTTTCGTACCATATTCGCGTTGAAGGTTCTCTGCTTCCAAACAACCTCTTCAATGCAGCATTCTTTTCGTTTACAGCCGGTTTAACTTCTCGTGTCTGACCGTCAGACGGCAGGCCAGCTCTTTTCAAACCGCAGAATTTGGCGGCAACCATAAATAAGCCCGTCATAGGAGATTTCACTCGGTTTCTACCTCACTCTTTATCACTGGGATTTGTTCGAACCGTCTTGCAATGTTATTTGCAATTTTCGCCGTCATATCCGCAGAAGATAATGTTTTACATTTGATTCCTTACTTGCTTCTGCCTCCTGGTCTTTGCATCGGAGGGTGCCTAGAACCAGGTGATAATCGGCTGACAGCTCTGCGCGTCTCATAATGTGAACATCCATCCAAACTCTGATGATGCGGTTATTAAATAGGTCAGCCAGTAAACGGTCTCCATACCGGGTATTCTGACGCACGTTTCGGTCCTCGCAGAGATTGTTTATAAGAGAGAGTCCGTCGTTTGCTTTAAATGGCAGAAAATTCATGTCAGTTTGTGTTGATGCAAATCACCCCTTTTCACTTTACGGTGTCTGCTCCAACACGCGCACTGACAACGCCCATTAGAATGATAGATTTCACAGTCTGCACTTCGTACACAGCATCTTCTGCTTCCACCAGGAACATAGCATATTCTCCCTCTGAACGGGCGCATAGATTTGTAACTAGGTCGATCAACTGTTGTGGCTTCAGTCTGAGGATTGCAATTCTTCTTCTTACAGGTTTCCGTTCAATAATTTTGTCAGCTGGGTTTGGTTCAGCTGTCAAAACGGTAATACCGACCTCTTCATAAACCGTGCATTCAACGCCTAAGTTGAGTGGCTCCCACCCACTGAGGTTCAAAATTCCGGAGCTTTGATGCTTCGTTGACTAGAGCGCAACTATTTGGAGTCGGTACCTCGTGGTTTGATCAGCTTACTTCTGCTCTTTGCTTCTGAATGAAGAGA